TATTCCAATTCCATTTCAGTGCTTTTCCTATTCATTTCCCTACCATGCCCCCTTCCCCCCCTTATTGTTCACTGTGGAACACAACCTAACATGATCAGATGGGAAATGAGTTGGCCTGGATATTATAATTATTACATGATTTGCATGGGTGTATAAGAACACTGAGGGAGAATTTGGAAGAGATGGAATGAAATGAAATAAAATTATTAACTATATGCTCCAGTAGTGATATAAACAAGGCAGGATATCATTCGATTCCCACTCTGCCAGAATCAGGGGCATAGCTGATGGAGTTGTCAGATTTTTTAATTTGTTGAGCAAATGGCTCATTCCAATCTTCAATTCCCAAAGTAGGCAAAAAGCCAATTAGTCCTAGTAGTAGTCACTGAAATTTAACAGTCCATGGAAGGAGATCTGAAATTCTGAGGTTGCGATAACAGTACATAAAGACCAAAGTTTTTACCTTTATGGCATTAATAAGTGTTATTTCATATTCACATAATCAGCTAGGACCATAGATTTCTTATGGCAGGAGAAAGTGATTGGCTTAATGCAGCACCCAGCTGCTGCTCTGAAAGCTAGGTTTCAAAGGTGTGTTTCTGGGCTGGGGCAGTCAGACATCAACTATACCACCTCAGGCCCAGGGCTGGGTTTCTGAGAGCTATGAAGCCTTTTGGACTAATTTCACAATATGCCAATGTTATAACTAGACCTGGTCAACTGCAGAAAAACCACATTTGCAGTCTGATCCAATTAAGTCCACAGACAGCTATACAACTGCACTTCATATTTAGGTAAATAAAAGCTCCTTCCAGAACATTCATATGAACAACCGTGTGAGGAAAATACCTTATTTCTATGGCTAAGTGTGTGTTAGATCAGGAAGTATTTGTCTGGCCGTCATAAATATGCACATGAACGCACACCTGGTGTGAACGTAAGAACAACAAACAAAACGCTGAGAGGATTGAATGTGAAAGTTCATTACGCAGCCAGTAAATCTAGCTTGTCCAGCCTTCTTCTTTCTTTCTTCTTCTACCATTTTTAAATCTGGTTCTTTACGCAAAATTCCAACATAGGTGTTTTTTGTGCAAAAGGGAAAAATAAAACCAAAGTTCAAATGATCTGAAATATCCAAAAATGGCTTGTCACCTACAATGCTATTCTCTCTGTAATATGCTCCTGCCCTTTTCTTGACACACTAAACATCCTAACCATTTCTTCACATGCTACTTTTCCTCTTCAAGTTTAGGCCAAACATCAGGGTCAGGAGCAACTCCATGTATTTTACGTGACCATTCAAAACCCAAACAAATTTGAAATGTTCAAAAAAAACACTTGTGCCATAATACTTGAAGCCAACACCCCCAAATATAGCTCTAAAAACTGATCTGAAAAAGTATTAATAAAAATACAAATCTGTCAACATCATAATAGGTTCCTCAGATAACTGAAATGGGGTGGATTGAGGGGGGCATACATAATTAATTAATATCTCAAGAAATGGATGACATTGCTTTACAAAACTTGCACTATCATGTTAGTCTTCATCAGTACCTGACAGGGCTTATTTATGTGATGCACTTTTGCACGTGCTCTGGGGGTGGGGGGCAGCACTTTAATTAAAGTGGCTTGAGAGCCACTCTAACATGTCACCACGTCTCCTGTATCAGCATCTCCACACTTAAAATTAGAGCCAGGGATGCTTGCATTAATGCTTGTGTGACAAGCTTTAATTTAAGTGCTCCTGCCACCATTTTTAAGCACAGGGATGCTGTGGCAATTGCCATGCTCCAGTGGACTTGATTAATCAATTAATAACTAACTCATTATGATGTTGATTTGATTAATTGAGTCTGCTCTGACATGCTTGAATTCAAGTGTGTCGAAGCAGCCTCAACACTTGTGTACAGGTGTTTGTGGATTCAAATTTTCACCAAAAAACGTTTACCCAACTCTCATTTACCTCTTGACCAATTATATGTAGTTATTAATAAAACAGGTATGTTTCAAAGAAGGGAGGTTGACTGTTCCCGTTTTAGCTGAAACCAGTAAATATAAAGGTCTGCAAAAATGAAGCAACTAACCACCCCCCCATTTTTTTTTTTTTTTACTCATATCCAAAGTATTTGGAATCTAAAACAATTTTGCTTGCGTTTCATTCAAATTCTGATTGAAAGTCAGCTCTTGTTTAATTTGAGCTAATTCCTCCATTCCCAATTATTATGCATGTCAACTATTTCTCAATTTCTGACCACTTTAAAAACTGAATATTTGTAACCCATCACCATGAGCATTTAAGTGCTCTAACACATGTCGTAGAGACTTTCAAGATCTAATGAAGAGAAGTAAAACACCCGTGCTGATCAGCCTCTACAGTCAGTTAGAAAACCAACATATAACCTTAGCCAGGGGTGGCTCCTGGCAGGGTGCAATGGTACAGTTGCACCCCACTTTGATTCCTGCTTCATGCAAAGTTTAAAACCAACTGCCTGGCAGTGGCAGCAGCATTTCTATCCATGTAGTACCAAGGGAGTCAATGGACTTAATGGCTCACTGTAATTCCTTTTAACTATGCATTCCACAGGTGTGAACAACCCTCTCTTCTTTTTAATAGTCTTGATGTTCCACCAATCAAGCTATCCTTTGTTTTGTAATTCTGCTGTTATCTGTTGCAATAATGAATCTCCTATTTCACAGCCCTGCAGATTGTTTTTAACTCATTCCAATGAAGTGATATTCATTTTTGCTTTAATATTAGACTAAATTATACAGCCCTGGGCCCCTATTTCATGGGCGGGGCCTAGGAGCGGCTGTGATCCCTCTAGCACCCCCTACCGTGTCAAGTACACGCTCCAGCACCCTCTTATCTCTCCCGCCACGTCTTTGATGAAATATATTATTGATATATGGGAGGCTGCCTTCGATCCCCTTATACACGGTACTATGCTTATTGTTCCCCGTTCCTTCGGAGTGACAAGTTGCACCCCAGTCTTAAGGGCTACGCGTGCCTCCTACCTCCCCTTTAGCACGCCCCAAGCCTCGCAGATCTTCCGGATGTTATCAGGTCCAACTCCTACCTGCACCTTGCCTAGCGCCCCTGGGATTGTCACGCAACTGGCGCTCCTTCCCTGGTGCCTCGGGGCTTGCCACGCCACCGGCGCCCCTCTACTCATTAGCCCTATCAGGCTTACTAGTGATCCTTTTACCCACTGGGATCGGCGGCCTAAGCCTTGCCTGTCCCCTCGGGGTTTATGTCAGTAATAAGTATCCAATTAGGCTCAGGCGGCCCAAGCCTTACCTGGCCCCTCTAACCCTTCTGGGTTACTGCCAAGAATAGGTGTCCAATTAGGCTCAGGCGGCCAGACCCTTACCTGGCCCCTTTGGCTCCTCGGGGTTCCCGTTACAGTGGAGCCCCTCCGGAACGCCTTCTAGTCCGCACCCCTCTTGGGGTGTCTGTCAATAATCAACGCCCCCTCTTGGGGCTACTTCTCTATGCGTGCCCTCTCCGGGGCTCCTCTCGAGTGCACACCCGCTCCTGTGGGTTCTCTCTGCCTCTGCCGGTTTCTCTCTAAGCACCGACTCTGCGTCACCTGGCACCAAACAACCGCGCCATCCCTGGCACCCCTCGTTTGGCCACACAGGGCACCAGGAACCCCCAAGCAACTGCGGAGCTCCCGTGAGGCCTCCTCACACCCCTACAGCCTCACCCGGTCCTCCGGTTTAACAATATCAAACAAGGAACACAAAACCGTGAGCCAACTGGCTACAACACAACAATAAGCCTTCTGGCTATACCATAAAGTCCAGGCCCCACCTGGCTTTCCAGTAAAACCTCCTAGTCAGGGTTCTTTCCACCCAAGCCATGGTGCAGCTACTCGTTCTATCAGTCTGCCTGCCTCCGCTCAACTCCACTGCAGAGCTCTTGCTCCTCCGGCTGCCAGAAGGGAACTGCCAGCCAGGCTCCGGCCTGGGCTGTTTATAAGGGCCTGGCCCTGCCCCCTTCTGGTCACCTGACCAACGTGGTTGCCCCAGCAACCGGCAGCTGAGCTGCCCTGGTGATTGGCAGCTGTTCTTAACCGTTTTCTAGGCACAAGGCACCTCCGTGACCTTGTGACACCCTAGCATATTAGTAAAGTTCCTAGTTTATTTTTCACTGAAGAAAAATATGTGCTGTTTTATATGTGGTGATGTACCTCAACATCTGCATCCCCCTTTTCAAAATGCTGCATCCACTCATGACTTTAGCTGCATGATTTACTACTATGTATCTGCTTATATTATTTTTGCAGCAGAGTGAACTTTAAATAGGGGGGACCACTGAGTAGAAAGCTCCATGATTGGCTTCCCCAAGGTTCAAAAGCCATCAGGCTTAAGGGTTCAAATGAGCTTGGATGACAACAATTCCAAGGTGGTTATACAGTACCTATAGTACTGTGTAACTAGACTATTTAGGTTTCATATAGAGAAGCCACTACCTGGAAATTACCTAGTTGTGAACTCAAACCTTTTAAAATCATGTTTATTTAAATGAATAAGCAGCTGCTGATATTGTATTGAGACACACTTATATTACCTTGACAGGGCAAGACAGGTTTCTAATCAATAGGTTAAATCTGGACACCAGTCCAATTCTAATGAACCACGCTTCATCCCATACAAAGCCATTAGTGTGAAATACTGTGTATATATCACCATTAAGCATTTCAAGTGTCATCAACGGATATATTTGGCTTCAATTCCAAGTTCTAAAGCACAGGCCGGCATCAGGATGTGCTCCCAAAACCATGATATTTTAGGATGCACTCAACATAGTTTTAATGCAGCTCCCATAGAAGTCAATGGGAGTTTTGTTGCCAACTGCAACGGAAGCAAAACTCAGGGAATCCCGAGAACTTTGGAAAAATATCATTTCTGGCCTTCTGTGTCACCCCCTCCCCCCATTCCCTCCCCTTATTTCATTATTTTTAGTGTCAGTGTTTTATCAGTCTGAGTCTTACTTTTGATCTGTTAACTTGGGCCTCCACTGTTCCTTAAGCACTTCAGTCAGTAGCTTCGATCTTCAAGTCCAGCCAAGCTGTGCTCAGTGCAGAACCTGAAGACAAAGGGAAATAAAAAAGTGTCTTTAAATCTTCTTGGAGATCCCATGATCCTCAAGCCTGCTGGAAATCATTCCAGGTTGCTTTTACTTAGCAGAGGATCCTTGTCATAGCCAAAGATTACCGAACTAGTTCTAAGAGCTGAAAATTGTAAGGGGGCTTCGGAGAGATCTATATACCAAAGTAATCCCTAAACTAGCCAAGCAAGGCTAGATTTAAGCCTTACTGGGGCTGAAAAGCTAGCCCTCCAGACCAGCTACTTTTGAGCTTATGTCTTCCTCTCATAGGGTATGAACAAGCATTCACTGCACCCAGTTTAGAACAAGGAGGCTTCCTTTAAGCTGCCTACACCTAAATTGGAAGCGGCACATACAGTAGTTCGCTACTCTAGGAACAGCATGGGCAGCCCAAGATAAGTAACTCAGGGTGGGAGGAGGGGCAGGTAGGCCTGGGGTGGACTTGGTGGGTCTGTGGGTGGGGGAGAAGGATTGTCCAGTTGGGGGAGGTGAAGGAAGCTATAAATAGGCCAGTTAGGGTCGGGGAGAAAGAGTGAGACTAGCACAACCCTAGGGTTGGGGCAAGCAGCTGTGTTTTCCCAGCCCTGTGGCTGTGCTGCAAATTCATTTCCTAAATCAGTTGAACACTTTCTCTATCTAAGTTTGAGCATCTCCTGAAGTACATTAACTTAGATCTGGTGCACCATTTTTTGGCTGAATTGAACCCTCTGAATGCCTGCACGATTGGGCGTTTAGACCAACCTAATCTTATGGTTAAATCAATCTAAAATTAATTCCTGTATGTACCCACAGGAAATACAATCTCTTTTCCTATACTTCCCCTCTGTTGTCTTTCTCCATGTTCTTATCCCCCCAACACTTTGTTGCTATTACATCTTCTGTTGTCACTTCCCTCTGCTTCTGCTGACTGCTGACTCATTGAGTACCACCTTAGTTTATCTTTACATCTCGTCCCTCTGGTCACATTAACCTTTTTACATTCATATTTGTATTTGTTTCAAAGTTTTCCCAGCTAATTAGACATCAGCCCAGCAAGGAATGATCAATGGAATGCCTCCAAACTTTTCACAATCCAAATATGTAACATAATTTGTAATAAGCAGCATCCAAAACATTATGAAAAACCCACAGTCCTATAGAAAATTTAAAGTTCTCTGCAGATCCACTCAGACTAATTCACTCTGGGCAAGTCTACATGTACCCCCTATGGTACAGTTGTTACTGCACTGTGATTTAGTACTTGCTTTTAGCTGTTACTGTGCAATCCCAGTAGTGCACAGTTATTTTTAGCAGCTACATTGCTGTAGCAATGCGCCATAGTGAGGTAGCTCATCACTCTGGTAACGTACTGTCAGTGTCATGGCTTGTGCCTGCTGACGCCACGTCACTGTAGCGATGAGTTATGCTGCAATACCATGTAGCTACGGTGACATCGTGTCACATGTAGACGTGCCCTCAGATTAATTCAGTATCATAATTTTTTATTTCTGATACAAATAATTTTAAACAATAAGAAGGAAGGGGCACCATGAATTTAGAAACTTAAGAATTTAGGAAACTCTATGAATAAAATTAAATCTGTGAATACAGTTTTGGAATAAGCATCTCTAATCAATGGTAGGGACCACTTACAGCATTATGACTGGAACTTGCCCTATTGGAATTAATTACTTGGAAAATGAGATCTTGTTGCTGTTTTTGTTTACAAATTTGACAACATAATTCAGTGCTTATAACTATTAGAAATTAGGAAAGTTAGGATCCACCAGCAAGTCACATTGCCTATATTTTTTCTTTCATGTTCCTAACTGGTATAAATAAATTACTGAGAACAATAGAACTATACCTGAACAGGTTGAAGTTCATAAACAATGGAATTATTATATTTCATATGCTGCCTTGATGCTAATTAGATCTGGTTTACATTCTAGCTAATTACCAAGTCTAGCTGCAAGCCACACTAACAAGAAGAGTGACAATTAGCATAATGTTAACATTACAAAGCTAAAGTCATTAAGTGAACAAGTTAAGGCTTCAATGGGCAGTTACCTTTACTAGACAATTACTTCTACTGTTACTTTTGAATTCACACCCCTCTTTCCTTCAGAGAGACTTGTCCCTCTCCAGAAGACCCAAATTATGTGGGTTTCCAATCCTCATGAATCTGCTGGAAGGACTGGACCACCTACACACCAGTTCTAGTGTCCTCTCCTCACCAATACCTTGCTTGGCCATAGGCCTTCACGGGGAGTTGGGCCGAAAGGGAATCCTAATGTTGGTGTGTGCTTTTTACCTAGCACTCAAAGTGTAAAGGAGATTTTTCCTAAAGTAACACAATTTGAAGTCTAATGAAATGCTGATGGCTTTGGGAATACTTGCCTACCCAGAAACAATTGTTCCTAGTGTCCCAGAAATGGTGCTGCAGTGACAAGGCTGTCACCTTTCTTATGTTTTGAACAGAAAAGAAGAGATCCACATGTGGAGAGACCCCTCCATTCCATTTGCCACTGGTTTTAGGATGTTATTAAACAGCAGTGAATAAGATCAATAAGGCAGAGCTACTGGTAAACTGCCTTAGGCTTGCAGGTGGCATAAATGTGTCAAATGCCTTCAATATTAAAGACTACGTAAATATTTAGGGACTTTAGCCACTAATGAAGTGCATTAGTCCTTAAACCACTAATAAATATACATAGACAAATACATTCAATGATTTACGTTAATGGGTAATTACCATTTCCATCTCTGGCTTCCCGAAATAGATCACAATGCACATACATGTGCACTTAAAATGTGGCCATGTACATTGTCTCCATCACTCTTGGCATCAATACACAGACTGCTAAACAACTTCACTACTAATCAATCAATATTTTCCAAATGCAGACAAAAGCTGGCTAAAATTGTTATGAAAATGTTAATAAACTGAATTGTTTTAAATAAAACAAGGTTTTTAATAAAATGAATGGGTTCACAAAAAGTATTTGCTTTCCAGATTGAATGTCAAATGCTTTTCAAAAAAGCCCAAACCCTAGGAACAGAAATAAACTTTCAGTTTTTATCTTAAAATGGAAATACTGCAGCCAAAAACTGTAATATTTGTATTTTAAAATTATGTTGTAATACCTTATGAAATTTGAATGCATGTGCCTCATGTCCGTAGTAGTGTACTTTGTTGTGCTGCCTCATATACTGGCTTATTGTGGAAGCCAGTCCTCTTAGGGAGTCTGACAAATAATTCAGAATGGGAGCATGAGGTACCTAAACTATAACTCCTAGAGAGCAGTGTTTCCTAGTTCAATGATTTCTGTTCCTGGTTACACTATTTTTTTTTCTGTCAAAAAACATTTTCTGTGCATGCATGTGCATGTGTGATGTGTAGAGGGTGGGAAGTATTTTCTGATGAAGGCTATCAGAAATATACTCCTCAAGGTGTGTTTGGTATTTACATTTCACATTTTGATGTAATGCTGTTCTTCAGTTACTGGGCTGCAAAGGTGTGGAAATATACAACATAGCAAGTATGCAAACTAGAATCCCAGAGGTTATCTAAAATCCCAGAGAATTTAGGAAATTTGCCCAAAAATCCCATTAGTTCAAAGTCTGAACAGAAAAACAAAAATAGCTCTCAAATGTGAACTTTTTTGGGAAGTTATAAGCCTACAAAGTCAAGACAGACTACTTTGCAGTCTCAAAAACAGTTCTAGTGTAACGATGAGTTACACTAATCTTACACACACACTGCAGGAGACTCATCATTACTTGAACAGGTTGTTCAGTGAGGTAGGAGATTTTAATAATATTCTGAGGACTCTTAATTTACTGGAATTGATCCAAACTTTCGTTTCTTTTCTTTTTTTTAAAGTGTGTTAATTCGAAGCCAAGGAGAGAAAGGGTACCTCCTCAGCCCATAGGCATAAATAAGGAAGGAGAAAGAAAGACAAGAGCACGTAGGGTGCAAAACAGCTTCAACCTTCAGCATTAACATTTTTTTAAGATACTGTAGCCACTACTAGATCCATACAATACTGAAACATACCCATTAACTTGTCCCAGAACCATCCATAGCCACCTCAAATATTCTGCTCTGACCCAAGTAGGTCTACCATGGAGATCACTTTTGTGGCCTGCTAGAACAATGCAGACATGCTCAGACTGTGGGTGTGTCCTGTTCAGGAAGCTTAAAGAGGTTGTGTGCTACTCTTACATCCAAGAGATAAACTTTGCTTACTACACTATCACTTTTTAAACACTAAAGCCACATACAGGTGTACAAGCATGTGCTGTTTGTGGCACCACAAACATCTTCATGGTGTCACAAATGGCACATGTTGCATGTTAAAATGTCTGTGGGACTGCTAATTTGCAGTGCTAGGGCAAAAAAAAAAA